TCCGGCCGAGGCCGACACGAACATTAATAGTTGCAAAGTTCATCCTCCGGCAAGCAAATAACTCGTTTCTCTTTCTCGAAAGACAAGAGAGAGGGATACATCGGCTGTTTACAATATCTTGAATGGCTCTTAATTATTTCTGCGGATTTCATAACGCATACTTCTTTTTTCATTATCATCATTATCGTTAATTCGAAGGACTTTGATGCCGATCGATCGATTGATCGGACAAATATTTTTATACCTATCGGATCTGCGCGAATCGATGATACAAGAGACACAGGCCTCGTACTTTGGCTGACACATGCAAGGAAAAATGTAGTAGTAGCGACGGTTGTTCGATTATACGATATTATTAATGACGGAAACCCGTCTGGCAAACCTTTGTTAATTAATATATTGCTTTGACGAGAATAACCAGTGCAGCGATGAAAAAGATCGATATCGATTTACAGCTTGCGTGACGCTTGAGTCAGGTAGTTAAAATAGCATCGAGCCATTTTTAAGGAAAAAAAAACATCGAATAATAGAAATAAGAGAGATATCCTTGAGATGATTTCTCCAATTATAAAAGAAACAAGAATTTATTATATTAATATCTATCTCATTACTTTTCTACTTTTTCCATTTTGTTTTACTTTTATATTTTTATTATTTTTATAAAGAAAAGAAAAATTACACAATCTTATATATATTTGATTATCTTGATTTTGTGCGCGTGCGTTTTGAAAATTTTCAGAAAAACTTATACAAGAGACATAACCGCATCGATCATTCTTTTAATCGAAGAATTTCTACGATAAATTTGTGAGAATCTAATAAGACGTTATCACGTTCATCGCGCGAGCCTTCTGTTTGGAATTAAAGTTATGTTAAGATAAAGTTCCATTAGAGATTCCGGAAGAATATTATGGAAATAGTCCGTTACATCACTATGTGGTTGAAGAAATGATAAAAGGAACGTAACGTAATTCTTTCCTCGGAATTAATCTTCAATCGTGACGTCTCTTTCTCTCTCTCTCTCTCTCTCTCCCTCTTTCTTTTTTTATTCCAGAGGTAATCATGTAATCAGAGATTGAAACTGGTACGACACTAATGAGAGTTTGCTAATGCTTTGCTGATACATGAGAATGATTTCTACGTTTATTGAACGACAAATATTATCAAACGTAATAATTAGAAACGTCACAGTTGACGTAAAACACGATTTTTCCGTATTTATAGTCGGTTATTTTGTGAAGAGAAAAATAAAACTATTACGGAAAAATTTAATTTTTGCTACAATATTTGTATTAGACAAAACAATATTTTACAAAAGTTTAATAATTCTTTCGGACATGCGAAAATTAATTTCTTGTTTTCACATGTGACAGAGTTATTTGATGTACGGGAGGAACTAACAGTCATGTACGCACACACACACATTACTTTATTAGAGTGTTTACTCAAATCTTGTAAAGAAATGATCTTCCAGATATTTTTGTTCAAAGTTCCAGGTAAAAAGAATATTTTAAAGATATTTTAGTGCAATATTTTAACATAACTTTTTTTATTATACGTATTTTTTAACGTTTTTCATACGAACAACTACTTAAGTTTCAAGTGCTAGATTAGCAAATGTACTAAAAAAAAACTGAATAAATAATTTTCGTAAGATAAACATTTTTCACTTGCATAACGCATTTTCATTGTTTTCATCGCTAAAAATTACAATAAAGAATATGTCCTGCATATTCAATATTTTGTGGACATTGAATATATAAACAGATAGATAAATATATATTTATAATATATTTTAAACATATAAGTCACTTGGCTTGCCAATTGCTTTCAATATAAGAACAAAACTATCAAAGAAAGAATTTAAAAAAAAATTCCCTCAGTTTCAATAAAATTCCATGAAGATCTCCTGATTTTTCCAGGTACAAAAAAGTTCCTAAAAATTCCAGGTTCTCCATATTTTTCCAAGGAATAGACACCCTGTTTATTTTAATAAACAATGTTAATAAAAAATCTCATAATTTCCGGAAATGCGTCCGCGGGAATTAATAATTCATGCTCTCTCTTTTTCTCTCTCTCTCTCTCTTTACAGCACTATCGAGAGCTTACAGAATTATATCGGGTCACGCGTCATTCCACGCACTGGTGCAATGAACTCGAGTAATTTTCGACGAGTTCGGGCCATACCACGAACTCGAGGTGAAAGTAACCGGACGGGACGCCCACGAATATGCGAATATATGCGAGGTGACAACAACAGGTTCTTAAAGGTGACAACGACAATGTCGTCGTCGTCGTAGGGCCTGTACTAGCTGAGAGAGAGAGAGAGAGATAGATAGAAGCATGAAGCTATATACAATGCCGTGCTAAATAAACCGCAATGATTCAGTGTGGTCGACCGTGCGCGCGCGATGACACATCCATTGAATCGAATTAAGAGCAGCGGCTACAACCGTGACATTACTCGCGACGATCGAGTTAATCGCAGCCTCTCGGTCTCTCGGTTCAGACATCTTGATTCATGTCTTCGAGCGTGGCTGATTATCGCTCTAAGTACGTGCAACGCGATGTGGAAAGACGATTTAAAGAATAAACCTTTACAAGTATTACGCAATTGGTAAATAGAAAAAATTAATGATAGGTCGATGAAATTAATCGGAATTATCCGATCGAGTCGGAAGTGTCATTATATACGGATTAACTCTTGTAGGTCACACTTTGTTTTTCTTCCTGGTAACATATGGGTCACAACGTCTTGTCATAAAGTGCTTAAAAAAATCTACAAAAATTTATGTATTATATTCTTTGACATTTGTCGAAGGAAATATAATTGAAAATTATCACGTATAACAAAAGGTAAAAAATAAATTTTAAGCATTTTTTTTTTATTGATTAAAGCCTTTGGGATATTCTATTATTAAAATATTGATAGAGTCAAAATGACCTATATGTAACCTTTAAGGGTTAAATATGAATCACGCGAATTTTATCGAGTAAATCATAAAAAATGATTCAACCAATAATTACGTTGATAAGTTTTTACAGTATAGTAAAACAGAATATTTTTCATTTTTACGTCACGGAATTTTCTACAAATCGATTACATACAGTACTTCTCTTTTATTGACACTGTTAAATAAATATGAGAAATTTAGTTGAACCATTGAGGTGACACGATTTTAAAGATTACCTTCGCTTGAGAATTTCGATTGTATCATGTTGATTTCATTATTCTTGTGCGAGCACACATTGTTATGACTTTTGGTCGATTGATTTGCAACGTCGACAATCATCGTCGCAATACGATGATTTGACCGCGAAATGTGCAAACTTGGTATGCAGATATCGCGTTTTTAAACACTTCAACATTGAATTATGCACGAAGCATATGCACTGAACATATGTACACGCGTGATACATTTTTTTCGCGTCAAGTCGATTATCATGCCTGTATAGTTTTTATTTAATAATAAAGTCTAATAATAAAATATAAAATAAAGATAAATGTACATTTTGCAGACATGCATGTACATATATGCACGGAATGTGCTGTTCGAAAGCGTGATCTCTAAAAATTGCAATAGTCAATGGAATTTATTTGTTATTTATTATAATTTTTTAGAATATAATATTTATAATATTATGATATTGCTTTATAATATTTATTTGTTATTTTTTATAATTTTATTTATTATATTTTACTTTTTATATATAAAATATAATATTTTTGAATGACTAATTTTCTAATTAGAGAGTATAATTTATTAAAATATTTGACTTTCTCAATTTTTAATCTCGCGTATTTTAATTTAATAATTTCTACGGCTAATTATTCCCATTCTCCACGTTTATGTGTAAGTGTTTTTATTTTTGGCAATAAACATCATTCGTCGGAATTTTTTATGAACAGCAATCACTCAAATCATGAATTAAATAAAAAAATTTCATTTAAAAAATGTTGAAGAAAAAGGTAATATTTTATTCATTATAAATTAAATATATAGATATGTTAATAGAAAAAATGCCTATAATATAAATAAATTATAAATATACATTGTAAAAAAATTAATTGAAACTTCAGACAAAGCATCTACAGCTTTTTGTAGACACACTGTCTGAATTTTCAGACAAAATGCTATTTGAATTTTCAGATACACTTCAATTTTCATACAAACTCTTCTGAACTTGCAGAAAAACGACTTTGATGATTAAAATAATTCGTCTGAAATATCTTTTTCCAGATCTGAGAATTCAGGCAAAAATGTGTCTGCATTTTTAGAAAATTTTTTACTTTTACTAAAGTTTCAACAGATTTTTGAAGAGCAAAGATATACAGGGTGTTCCAAGTTAGATCAACGAAACTTCAGGGTCTTATAAGAAATTGAATTTGGAACAAAAAAGTTCCGACAAACATAGGTCCGGAAATGCTTCGTTAAAAAGTTATAGCTAATAAACTTCGAAAAATCACGTTTTTTGATGATTTTTAAACATAATTTAAAAAACCCTTTATTCATTTGAAAAAAGTAACGAAATAAATCTGATTGATGATTAAATAAACTAAATTACACCAATTTCAATTAATTCTGACAAGGCGTTCAAAAGAAAATAAGCTGAAAACAACGAAAGAAGCAGAAACTTGAAAAAAAACTATCTCTTGATGTTTTTTGTATAAACACTACATTCGTAGTGCAAACATTGCAAATGCAAACATAAAAATGTTCTTATTAAATTTTGATCATAACTAATTACTTACAGAGAGTTTATTAGCTATAACTTTTTAACGAAGCGTTTCCAGACCTATATGTTTATCAAAACTTTTTTATTCCAAACTCAATTTCCTATAAGATCCTGAAGTTTCATTGACCTGATCTGGAACACCCTGTATATATTTTTGGAGTAACATCTCTTCTCTCACTCTCTCTCTCTCTCTCTTCCTCTCTTTAAGACGATCGATTGAGATCCCGATCAAACATTTTTTTCTTTTTTTTTCAAGTACTTACACCATCGTCTGAGGAAGCCGCCCTGTAGTTTGGCGCAGATCCCGCGATGCACCCTCATTCTGACCGGTGTTGATCGAGAGGAGCGTTCACCCCGAGATCACACAGCACACCCGAGCGTCGAGATAAGAAACGCGAGATGCAAATGCGCCGATCCCCCGTTCGTCACTGCCTCCCTTTCGCCGATGTCTCTTGTCCTCGGATATATCCCCGCGACGGCTACGTCATCCACAGAATACACAGGATTTCTTCGAAAGGGGATCCGTTCGAAATGTCATTCGACGCGGCGGCACGTTGGATTCCACGCGTTTATTGTCCCCGCCGTCGCGTTTTCTCGCGGCGACCTCGAAGAGCTGCTGGCGCTCACAACTTGACTCGGAGAAAGTCGGTCCTCCTCTCGCAGAGCTAGAGCTAAAAGTGTGCCGGTCGAGCGTTATTATGGAGATGTTGGATCCGCCGGGCTCTTACTCTTCTCCTCTTCTTTACTTCGTCGTCGTAGTTTCGAAGAAACGTCTCGCTCTAAGACATGTCCCGCCCAGTAGTAGATCCTTCACATCCACGATCGATCGATCGCTCACGGCGATATTAGCCACGATCGCGGGATCCTCGTCGATCCGCCTCGAATCCGGTCCCAGCACGTGACAACGAGTGATGCACGCGAATATATGCGTCGGATACACTGCTGCTGCCTCCTCGATCGCCGGTGGCCGCAACAGTAATCGTGGGAACGATCGGCGGTGATGTTGCACTTCGGCAGGAAAGAGGCATACGATCCAGGAGGTGGGAACTATATGTACAGGGATGCTGATGAGGAGAGGAAGAGGACCAAGGAGAAGAGAGAGAGAGAAAGAAAGAGAGAGGGAGAAGGAAATGAGAAGGCCGGATAAGAGTGGCCGAGGAGAGACGGATTAAACGAAGAGAAGAGGGAGAGAGAGAAGGATAAAGAGATGTTGAGGAAAATCGATGCTATATCGAGCGGAACACCGTATGTAAGTGCACGCTTGTAAATGTTGTGGGGCGCACGAAAGATGTGTTGGCGATCTGATATACGGACGTGATGGTGGTGTGATCGATGCGAGATCGGCCGAGACACTGCCGAGAGACCGACGTCGATCCTTGGCGCGACCCGCTCAGGTGAACGATTTATTTCTGCCCCCACTTGCCGCTCCACTTTGCCCCCTTCGGTGCGCGCCTGTTCAGTGCCTACTACTACTACTAACTCTTGAAGCCGCCGCCGCCTCTACTCCTTCATTCTTCGGTTCCCCTCGAGATGCTCTCCTCCTGCTCCAGCGACGCAGGAGCGTTTTATCTCGTTCGCGGGGCCCCCAAGTTGTCTTCATTTCACTGCGAAAAAATTCTCTTCTTTTATTTCTTCTTTAATTTGTATCTTTTTCCATTAAAATACGGAAGTATATGAAAAAGTTGGATAGTAAAATCAAGTAAAATAATTCAAAACGAAAATTTATATGAAAATAATATATAGGGTGTTCTAGATCAGATCAATAAAACTTCAGGATCTTATAAGAAATTGAATTTGGAACAAAAAAGTTCCTATAAACATAGGTCCGGAAATGTTTCGTTAAAAAGTTATAACTAATAAACTCTCTGCAAGTAATTAGTTATGATCAAAATTTAATAAGAACATTTTTATGTTTGCATTTGCAATGTTTGCACTACGAATGTAGTGTTTACATAAAGACCATTGAAAGGAGGTTTTTTCAAGTTTTTGCTTTTTTTGTTGTTTGAGTTTATTTTCTTTTAAACGTCTTTTATCAGAATTAAATGAAATTGGTGTAATTTAGTTTATTATTTAATTACCCATCAGATTCATTTCGTTATTTTTTTTAAATGAATGAAGTTTTGAAGTTATTTTTAAAAATCATCAAAAAAACGTAATTTTTCGAAGTTTATTAATTATAACTTTTTGACAAATCGTTTCCAAACCTATGTTTATAGGAAACCTATGTTTATTGTTCCAAATTCAATTTCCTATAAAATCCTGGAATGTAATTAACCTGATCTGGAACAGCCTGTATAATACACATAATATATAATATACATAATTATGAAAAAAATGGAAATTAAACACGAAACTTTACAATTAATACAAAATTATAGAAAATTATAGAACTATAAAGCATAGTTATTATAACTGTGATGATATGCGATGTAGATATAAAATTAATAATAATTAATAATATTAATAAATATTGATCTTAAATATTAATAACTCATTAAATATTGAAAAGTAAATTAAAATCTTTATATTAACAATAATTAATAATATTTATAAATATTAATCTTAAATATTAATCTTAATATTGATCTTAATCAAAATATTAATCACTCATAAAATATTAAAAAATAAATTAAAATCTTGATATTAACAATAATTAATAATATTAATAAATATTAATCTTATCTATTAATGACTTACAAAATATTGAAAAGTAAATTAAAATTTTGATATCTCTTGAAAAAACGAGCCGAGATAACATTCCTGAAGATATTTTCCGTTGCATCTTTTATCCAGGTGACGCAGGTGCCTGCATCTACACATCTATATTCGATCTATAGTCTTCTCTCGCTTTCGCCCGCATTAAATCGTCCTCCTCGTCTCCTTCTTCCCTCCATTCCTCCTTCCTCTTGATTCGCATGGAACTTTGTCGCAGCGAATTTTTTTCTACCGTGCTTCTCCGCTCTCATACCCGATATGGCAATTTCGAAAAATAATAATAGCAATTCGCGAAAAGACGGAGATACGTCCACGAAGCATAATAATTTTCCTAGAACGTGCTTTACGGAAGGCATGACGAGCTTCTACGATTCTAGTCATTATGTAGAGAGTGTTACAAATAGGCTTCTTGTTGCGAGTTCTTTAGAATCAATCATCGTACAGCAGATCCTTTCTAGCAGAAATATCGAAGCATCTTTCTTGAACCACAGTAATTACAATTATTAAAGTTGTTGAAAAATAGAATCTTATTTTTAATTAATTCAAAGTAGATTTTTTCATTTTTTTTCAACAAAAATCAATTAATTTAAAATTAGTTACTATAATATTTAATGCTGAAAATGTGTTGTATAAAGAGAATTAAAATTTACTAACACTGAAAATTTAAATCTGAGAAAAAAATATTTTATTGTTAAAAAAAATCAACTTTGAAGCGAATGAAAAATTTCGTGTATGTTGAAGAATATGGCAAATTTTTACGTCTCATCAACTATTGTTTTTAGAATATTTGTCTGTTTCCATAAGACTTAAATACAATATCAGCTAAAGTTTTGAATCTTATTTTTAATTAATTCAAAGTAGATTTTTCATTTTTTTTTCAACAAAAATTAGTTAATTTAAGATTAATTGTTGTAATATTTAACGCTGAAAACTTATTATATAAAGAATTTTAAAAATCTAGAAAAATTAAAAAATTTAAATTTAAGAAAGATATATTTTATTGTTAGAAAAAAATCATCTCTGAAGCAAATGATAAATTTCGTGCATGTTGAAGAATGTAAAATATTTTACAAACAACCAATTTTTTTACGTCTCACCAACTATTATTTTTAGAATATTTGCGTTTTTTCGTGAGATTTAAATATAATATTAGCTAAAAATTTAACACGTGACCCATGCATTAAAGTCTCATTAAAAAAATGCGAAATGCTCTTAATATGAATACTATTAAATTACATTGATGCGATAAATTCTATTAACGCAGATAAACGATACTGAAACGCTTTAACTGGATCCAATAATCTTTTGCGATATCGAGAGAAAGGTCTACCAAAAATAACCCGGTTTCAATTTCCGCTAGTGCGTTCATAATCGACAATCGCTACTTGAGAACGTCGTAATAGGAAGCGATCGAGGACGTAAATGTAGGTTAATGCGGAAAATTACGAGTTTTTGCGAGCCTCTCCTCCCTTCGTTCTGACACTCTTACATTATCAGCGCATTTCGAGTTCTTTTGCTTCGTTTGATCAACGGCGATATCTTTTTTGCTTCTAGCGCAAGAAGAAAGAAAAATTAGAAGATTTATTACATTCAATTAAATTTCATAAATACAAAATCTGAGATACTTTTAATATTTATAAAAATACATTTAAAAATAAATAGAGGAAAAATAAAATATTCCTGATCCTCGGAACTTCTTATTCGAATACTTTTATACAAATCTTGCGCAAAAAATCCACGTTGTAAATTCTAAGAAATGTACTTTGTCAACTGTAGATTATACTTAATATACAATTAAATATTATATTAATACGCTAATTAATTTTTCGAAATAAAAAAATATTTTCACAAATTATTAAAATATATATTTAATGTATTCTGTTCGAAATGAGACTTTGAACGCATTCAAGGAATCATAATCATCAGATACTGACAAATAAATGTATTTGTGATTCAAGTGCACATCGAGCATATACTGTTAATGAAGAGTGCTCTTATCGATATTGAAACACGTTAGTCCTTGCGAAGTAATGTGACGGGTTTTATTTGCGGCACAATGACAACTTTACCTTGACCCTCTTAATTTGGAGGGTTTAACGATATAATTTTCGTGTTATGCAAAAAGTGGCTATCCGGATCGCAGCGCTGATAAACTCGCGCGACAAGCTGATATTATTCGCATTATGTGTAAAACCGAAAGTAATCCTATCTAATCGTTATATTCTTCTCCGACCCAACATTTTTTACGTGCCATTCTCGATACCCTATTACGCAACGTGCTAAACAACTTGACCGTCGATATTTATTTAAAAAAAAAAAAGGATAAAAAGAGAAAATAACGTCTTGAGCAAATTGATCAATTTAAACATCAGATATGATATAACTCCTGCATAAAATGATTGATGTTATATTTTTAATATATAAAGTGTTCCATTTTAATTTACCCCCCGCAAAAAAACTTTTTTATTGTAGAACAAAATGCTTCAGACAAAAATTGTTTGATTTGAAGAGGGTCATCTGATGGTAATCTTCATTTAACCTTGGATCAAAGTCCAGGGTCAACTTCATTTTTTTTAATGGAAGCCCCTATTTTTATGGCATATTCTTATAGCTCTTTTTGAGACTTTTTCAAAACATTATAATAAAATATTTTCTCATTAAATATTTTTCGAGTTATTTTATATTTTATTAATTTATTATATTATTCTTAAGAATACAGATCGAATATCGAATGAAATTGCGATAATTCAGAACATGCCCATGAACTGTACCGAGTATTGCAATTATACTTCGCATAGTAAATAAATAAAAAATGACACATCTCCGCATTGGAGACACCAGGTCTGAAAGGGTTAATACCCCCCGTTAACAAATGCTATAATCGGCAACTTATTATAACTTGCGGGGCGAAACACGCAACTAAAATCGACGACGATCTTTCACAATAGCAGCCTCACTTTTTGAACTCGTCGCGCTGTTACGGCACGACTTTAAAGACATCGCGCCAAATGCTGAGGTGGAATAGTTAATTGCCGCGCTAATTACACCGCAATTTCTGATCAGCTGCAATATTACGATGTCATTAAATAATGAATAGATGCGTAATCGCAAATAGTACGATGCGATGTATTTCGAAAGCTTTTTTACGCTGGTCAAAGGTGCGAATGCCGAATCGATCAAGTATAACTTTATTGTAGCTCTTGCTATACCTATGTTGAATCGCGATATCATCGTAATAAATTGCAATACAGGATATTACAGAACTCTATGATCTTCTCCTTCCTCGAAAAGATGAATGTATGACAGATAATAATACGTAATTAATTCATTTTCATCCAATTTTAATTTTATTTAAAGCACACGTATTTTTTATCTTAAAGTCATTTTACGAATTAATTTTTAAGATGTTTGAAACGTGAAAAATTATAAACGCGACGAATGATCGTCGCGATCGTGAATTAATCAACGAGAAAAAATCGATTCAAGGTTCGACATAGCTTATAATTGCATTTAATAATTCTGGATCACCTTGTGCAATGCTTTAGCAACAACGCAAATTCTTATTCGAGCATTTATACGATCGATCGTGCACATTATCGCATCGGATGTTAATCAGAATGGTATCGCGATAATGCTGGTAAAGCAAACGCTCGCAACTTTTCCTCTACACGAGACTCTCGACTCTCGAGTATCAGAAATGCTTCAACTATTAAAATGCACTATTTACGTTTATTTACAAAAGTCCAAAGAGCGCAACGTACCAGCGGAAGAAAGGCGGGCAAGCAGAGCGTCAGTGCGTGTAATTGCCCCTCGTTCTTGAATTATATGAATGACCAAATTGCATTGATTAGCAACGAAAGCGATTCTTCCACTTGCTGCACGCGGTTTTTATTTTTCATAATAACTCAGAGCATTTTTTCCATTGTATGTTTTGAAAAAACTAGAGTCGATGTTTTACAAAATTATTCATACATCATTCATACAGATTGTTCCAGGTCAATTACATTTCAGGGTCTTATAGAGAATTGAATTTGGAACAAAAAAGTTCCCATAAACATAGTTCCGGAAACGCTTCATTAAAAAGTTATAGCTAATAAATTTCCAAAAATCACATTTTTTTAATGACTTTTAAAAATAACTTTAAAAATCCTTCATTCATTTAAAAAAAAATAACGAAATTAATCTAATGAGTGATTAAATAACAAACTAAATTACACCAATTTCATTTAATTCTGATAAGGCGTTCAGAAGAAAATAAGGTCAAAACAACGAAAAAAGCAAAAACTTGAAAAAACTACCTTCCCATGGCCTTTGTATAAACACTACATTCATAATGCAAACATTCCAAATGCAAACATAAAAATGTTCTTATTAAATTTTGATCATAAGTAATTACTTCCAGAGAATTTATTAGCTATAACTTTTTAACGAAACTTTTCCGGACCTATATTTATACGAACTTTTTTGTTCCAAATTCAATTTCCTATAAGACCCTGAAGTTTCATTGACTTGACTTGAAACACCCTGTATATGTTATGTATGTATTTGCAAAATTAACAAATGTAATAATAATAATAATAATAATAATAATTTTTAATAATTAAAATAATAATAATTTTTTCATAGTTATCTTATATATTACATATTTTAATTTCAATTTTATTAACACGATTATATATGCATTTTAATAAAATCAAAAAGTTGGTCATATCGAGAAATGCGCTGAGCAGAAAATATTCTAAATCACATAAACATTTATGACATTGATTTACCGGAGAAGCATTAGTCGCAAGTAGAATCCTAGGGTTAACTAGGGTTAACATTTTTGTTGTTTGTACGATCGTGTTTTTACATTACACGATAGTGATAGTACGTACATACGTCGCGTCGCTATCAGCCGGCTTTCATCGGTGATGTAAGCTCCGGTGCTTAGTTTGTTCTGAGAAAAAAGAACCTATCATCTCATCAAGCGCAAATCTTCGATATAATTTGAGATATTTATTCATTTAAACACTGCACGAATCTGTGTGTGTGTATCAAATTATTATAATTAATATTTTTCATTTGTTAAAATAGTTATTGTGTTTTTTTTTTATTTCAAATATATTTTATAAAATAGATATTTAATTTTCTTTAATGTTTTATAGATAATTTTTGAGCTTACTTTGCTGCCATATTTTTCACAAATTTAGTTCTTATATTATTAGTTACTTATATTCTTATGTGATTAAATATGGCAGAAAAAAATCATATTAGAATTTTGCATTGTTTTGCTTTAGTTATTAAAATTGCGGGGAAAAACGTGCTTAAACGAACAGATGTTGAGTGAAAACCATGTTCAATAATTAACGAAGATTCGCGCTTTTGCAACCGCAACAGAGTGTATCTCGATAAGCCTAGTTCTCAGCAATACTCTGGAAAGTGACGCGTGGGTATAAAAAGAGAAAAGATTTCAAGAAGACCGACGGCTGCGCGAATAAACACGTCGAAATAAAAATAAAAATATTTTCAACGATATATGTAACGCGAAAGTAAATTCTAAGTCGCAACAGATTTATAATTAATTTATCAAATTAAATATTCAATTCGGCGAAGATAAATAATTTCTAGTTAGAAATATTAATTTCATCCTCATATATTATACAGATTAAATATATCAACACGTGAATATAATTAGCATAACTCGTACTAATTCGACGAATGAGTGAAAATGAAAAAAAAAAGATACCTCGGGTTTTTAGCATTAGAGGAATCTGCGACGTAATATTCAACTATGTAAAATTTAATTGTTCAATCGACAAGATAAACATGCATTTTATCATGAAATGTTATATACACATAAATGCTTCAGCGCGCATACATAATAATGCGTATACACATAACGCGGAAATGATACGTAATTGCATCTCGATATCGCGAAAAAAAAGCTGCTAAATAATTATTCAAACCGGATTGAAATGCATAAAATAATATGTATGAACCGATAATGCTTCGTTTATGATATAGAAAGAATAAGCGAGCGTGAAACAAGAAGGTTGTTATTTTAGTTAATTACACAAATAATAATAGCGATAATGACATTCGATAACATTGAGTTCGCTGCTTGATAAGATCAGGAGACTCATTATCGAAAATATTTCCTCGGTTTTTATGCAAAGTATTATTATTGCATACCCTTTAATTTTATTTAGATGAACTGTTGCAAAAAAACCGAGGTCTCTTCTCATTTACTTCTATATTATTATTGAAGTCAATATGATACGCACGATTGAAAATAACATTTTAAAAAAGAAATAGTTTAATTTTGTAATTGAAATTTAATTTCGTCAAATAAATTTGTTTACACAATTATTTTTCAAGCAAAAATATTTTTGTGAAATACAAAATTCATATTTTAATCAAAAGACTATTTCAAATAATATATTTATGTATTTTTCTTTCCGTGGAGAAAACAAATATCGAGGGAACCAAACAATTGTTTTTTAAAAAAGATACGGCAAGAAATAAAGCTTTTTATAATATTTAAGGAAATATTTATTATACCAGATAACTCGCAGCCTCTGTGTTAATTTATAAATTAATCTTTCGTACGGTAATTTACAATGTTTTTTCATGAAGATTTTCATAGAGGGAATTTTTTAGACACGCGCAAGTTGCACAAAAATTGCCAATTGTGTCGCTAACATATGCGAAAAGTTCGGTTTTCACCGGCGAAAGGAATAGAAAGCCGCGCTTTGACTTCTCGTCGTGCTTGACAGGAGGACACGTAATTAGATGAATTACGATTTCCTGCGATTGTAGTGGACGTCCATCGCGAACCATCGTGCTGTGTCTCTATCGCGAGCTGCCAAATCGTGCGACGAAGGAAAAGAAAAGAAATTGAGCTGTAAAAAAAGTTTGTTTTATACCGTCCTTTTAACGCATCAAAATGTCGCGCGCAATTTTATGTCGGCTGCGAAACGAATTTTTCTACTTTGTGGTGGTTGAGAGTACAAATTCTAACTGGTGTCGTGGCATGTCAAACACGGCTTTATACGGAAACGTATAGCGCGAAGCACGAAGTGGTTTAATGAAATGGAACGACTTTATGGAGGTCGACCGGTATCTTGCAGGCGCTGCCGGTTTCCTTCACTTCGAGTTCGTACATGATCGTAGTGCTTCTACATCGCTAATTTTTTATGGCTATAAAAGACAAACGAAAATTAACGAGTCGTTTCCGTCCCGTTAATTTTCGCGAATTGTCTCGAAATAAAAAATTAACTTGATATTCTTCTTGTATCAATCAATATAAATAAATCTGAATTTCATATTACGATAACTCTCTTGTAAAATTAATATTGCGTTAAATATTCATATATTTAGCCTGGAAATGCACACGCGAAATATTTATACGTGAAATTTACGAATAAATATGTATATATATATATATATATATTTAGTGTGTTGTAACATAAATATTTCTAAAATGTATAAAATATGTATTATTTTTCATTTTATATATATATATGTGAAATATATATTATGGCACATAGAAAACTTATGGAATATCTAAATTTTAAACTGTCATGTTCTTATCATACTCCTAATTTATCATATTCTTTTTTTGTAGATACGCGAGAGAGAGAAAGAGATATGTGTTCTTAAAATTTCTAAAATAAAAAATTTCTTTCCTTAATACGAATGACATTAACAACAAAAAAAAAATCTACAAATATTAAAACAAAAACAAGGTATTCATCTCAGGTTTCATCTCAGATTTTCTAAACATTCTTTCGAAGTTAGTGATGTGAAATTTAGGTCATTGATTGTAGTCATTTTTTATCGCTCTTGTAAACCGGCTCCGTTATGATAATTATAAATACCATCCAAAAATAACCATTTTTTCTGAAAGAGAGATAATTAATGTCGTTTCATCTGTACTGGAAGAGAAAAAATTTATGAAACGACGTCATTTTCTCCGCTTTTGCGCACAGAGAGCAAAGATCTCTTGTAATTCTCTCTCTTTCTCGTTTGTCAATTGAATTCTGCACTATGGTTTGCGTGCGGGAAAATTGCGCATCCCTCGGTAATGAAAAGACTCAGAAAGCGAGTCGCGCGCGTACTGCAACCTCACGCCGCACCGCAAGATTTTACAGCGTTATAATCAAAAGAACTCGAAATAGAAGAGGAACGTCGTGTTCTTATTGCGCGGATTAACATAATCCATGGAAATTATTATTAAGTAGGCGACATTGTAGGTAAGTATGCATAAGTTCGATCGACATGCACATATTCGGCATTTGAATGCAGTATTATGCAATATCATTCGAGACATAATTACAGGTTTTACAAGTATATAAATTGTCGTCACATTTTTCTTTTTTATTGCGACGAGATATATACAATATTTATAAGCTCACCGCCTAGTCATGTGCGCGATTACACATAAACGTATATCATACATGCAAATGTATCGCGTTTTTATACCTATATAATATATATAGATAATTCTATTTTACCTTGTTTTTGAGATATACATTTATACTATATAAATTACTATTGACTATCAAAGAACTTATCTATCGATCTCGCCAAATACCACGTCTAATGTACCGATGATGGCAACTATATCGGCGAGGAAGTGCTTGGGTCCTATATATTGCAGACCCGCCAAGTGAGCAAAGCCCGGCGCTTTGATCTTGCACCGATATGGCTTGCTGCTACCGTCGCTCACGAGATAAACACCGAACTCGCCCTTCGGTGCTTCGATCGCGGTATATGTTGCTCCCGGCGGTACCTGGAAACCCTGGGTGAACAACTTGAAGTGATGGATAAGCGCCTCCATGCTAGTTTTCATCTCCTCCCGCCGCGGTGGCACTATCTTGGCGTCATCGCATCGTACCTCGCCTTCGGGCATGTCATTCAAACACTGATGGATGATGCGCAGAGACTGACGCATTTCCTCGAGGCGGCATAGATACCTAAGAGCAACAAGTGAAGGCATTATTTGCAATTTATATACATATCATTTTCCATTCCTATCTCATCGAGATAGCTTTAAAAATTATTTATAAGAATATTAGGAAGACTTAAAAATTATTTTATAAATAATTTAAAATAGTAAGAAAAAGAAGGGAAAAAAAAGAGTTAATTAGAATCAAATGTAGATAACTGTGTGATGAAAAGTCTATAAAAATATATGAAATGATTGATATTTCATGAAGAGATTCTTTTCAACTCCTCTTTTTATATTTTTTGTAAATAATTCGACTCGCATCTAGAAATTTACCTGTCGTAGCAATCGCCGTTCGTACCAACTGGAACGTCAAAATCGACCCGATCGTAAGCGTCGTAAGGCGCAACCTTTCTCAGATCCCACTTTATTCCAGAACCTCGTAACATAACGCCGCTGAAACCCCAATTGAGCGCGTCCTCTGCGGACACAACACCGATATCGATCGTACGCTGTCGCCAGATTCTATTTTCCGTCAGCAGATCCTCCACCTCATCCAATCGCTCCGAGTACTTCGAGGCCCATGCGTGTATGTCGTCCATTATACCCAACGGCAAATCAAGCGAGACCCCACCGGGTCGTACATAGGCTGCATGCATGCGAGCGCCACTCACGCGCTCGTAAAACTCCATCAGCTTCTCGCGCTCCTCGAACAGCCAGAAAAAGGGCGTGAGAGCACCGATGTCTAACGCGTGTGTTCCAATGCCCATAATGTGATTCAGAATTCTCGTGAGTTCCGCGAAGAGAACTGCAAGCACGAGAGATTTACAAATTCATAAGAATGTACATATAAAGATGTAAACATAGTTCGAGTTTTTATTTTCTTTTTCATTTTCATTTTTATTTGAGTTTATGTGAGTTTAGTTTAATTTAATCTTATTCTTATTTAGTTTATTTAATCTTATTCTATTTAATTATATTGTACCTTATTTTTGTTATTTTTGTGTTTTATTTTTGTTATTAGTAAAATTTATATTTATTTATTCAGATTCAATTGAATATATGTTCGTTCATTTATGTGTTATTTATATATTATATTCAATGAAATAATATAAACACTCCAAGACACATAAAACAAATTACAAACAAATTACAAATACAAAACTGGAAGCTGTCCAAAACCGTAAGGCATAGATTAAGAATAAATAAATAATAATAATAAATTATATAAAGACATAGGTATATAAGAGAGAGCAGATTTACCCTACGTTACTCAAGTCCAGAGATAGTTGTATCGTTTTTTACCTCGAATATACTTTGCACGCAGAGGCACATCTATGTTGAGCAACTTCTCTATCGCCATGGAAAAGCACTGCTCATTGCACATCATGGACACATAGTCCAAGCGATCAAAGTAGGGCAACGCTTGCATGTAGGTCTTATATTCGATCAGCTTCTCCGTGCCGCGATGCAGGAGACCGATATGCGGATCCGCGGTGACCACGATTTCACCGTCCAGCTCCAGGATCAGTCGGAGTACGCCGTGAGCGGCTGGATGTTGGGGGCCAAAGTTGAGCTTTATGTTCTCTATGGTTTGCTCCGCCAGTGGGGGATGTGCGAGGATGGACTCCGTCGGTGGCTTCCAGTCGAGCTTCTCATCGCAATACACCAACGGTTTGTTGAACGACTCGATAAACTGCGCGTCCGGATTCCATTGATGGCCGTTGCGATGTTGGCTGCAAAACATACAATATTGTCAGTTGAGTTTGCCAGAGGCACAGACAGATAGGTTAGGGAGATAACGGGGGTTACATAATGCGATGTACGATCGCGTTACAGCCGTGCAATTAAGGGCGATTAATCGAACTCACACATTGACGATCGCCGGTGCGTTATTCGGCGCCAGCAACCTGCCCGCGCCGAAAAATCCGGCATTTTTACGCAGAATCGACCCTAACGCTCTCGCCGCCATGATGCTCACATCACGTCAGACGTCACGTCAGGGTGCGTACGAAAATCCTACTCGTAGGGTAGAGTAACGTTGAATTGACCAATCAGAATAAAAGAAACAAAGATCTCTTCGTCCTGATTGGTCAATTTAAAGCTAATCCATCCCACGTGTAGAATTTTTGAACGCATCCTCGATATGACATTATTGACTCGGTCGATAATATCATGGACCAATATTCTTTGGTCCAGCTCCGTTCTCAAGAATTGTCGGTATTATTATATCAAGAATTGTGATATTCTCTCCAATCTGATATAGATATATCCATTCGAAGAAAACTGAAGAAAGTTTTGACATGCGTGATATAATTTTTGTTACGCGTAACATTTTTCTTCATATATATATATATATATACTTTTACGTTGAGAATTCGAAAACGCAATTAGATTTTTTCTTCGAGAGAAAATGTATTCTATATTCGCGCTTCCCGTTTTATGCATCTATTTGTTTCGCTAAATCTGTGAATTATAATTTTGGGTACGCGAGTCCCCCCCACACGATGACATTGCGGATCTTGACCTCTCTCTCTTTTCGCGTGTTATTTCCTTCTATTTGCGTATCTAAACTTGAAATATATCCGGAGCCGCGTGAATAAGCGTGAATATTTGTATGAACAAAACGAAATCGCGAATGGAGACAATCCGTTTCTCTCGTGGATATTTCGTGGAACCGCGCTTGGAAGACCGCCATGGAATTTCCGTACGGTTCTTGTGAGAATCCAATGATGCAGTTGATATATACAGGGTGTCCGATAATTTTTTACACACCCGAAGTGTAAAGGTAGATTGGATCAAACTGAAAAGAAAAGTCCTGATCTTTTTTAATTAATTTCTCAATAATTATTACGAAAATCGCAAAATGGTACAGGACTTTCCTTCTCAGTTTGAGCCAATCTACCTTCAGATGTGTCAAAAATTATCGAACACTCTGTATATATGGATACTATATTTTGAAGGTATGTAAAAAAACACCGTAAAAAAACTGACTGAAATTTCAGACACAGTATCTGCAGCTTTTTTGTAGACATACTATCTGAATTTTCAGACAAAATCCCAAGTAAGGCGTGACGTCAAATGACGTCTTAATAACGTCTCAATGACGTTTCTAATTAGACAATATAATGTCATTTGACGTCAGCTTGCTACTTGGAATGCTGTCTGAATTTTTAGACACACTTTTCGGAACTTTCGGAAAAACGAGTCTGATGATTAAGACAGATTGTCTGAAATTTCTTTGCGACTCCCAGATCTGAAAATTCAGACGAAAATGTGTACGAATTAAAAAAAAATTTTTTTACAGCGTATATATTCCCGCTCGCCCCCTTAACAATACACATGTCCAGAGAATATCCTCCAGATGCTTTACATCCTCTGGATGTCTTCTGGATGTCGTATGTTAGGGTACCAAGCACAACTCTTTGTGCATCCCTTTCTCTTATCTTCTACATCAAATAATAAAAGTTACAGACACACATATATACTCGCGCACAGTGAATACAAGGTATATAGAAACTAATATAAGTTTCCTCATACGAAGAAGATGATTGCCAAAAGTTTGACGTAAGTCACGTCAGTATTGAGGCTGTTATTTCGAGGATAGCGATTAGTGTATGGATCACATTGTTGCTCCCACCAATGGCCAACATCCTACACGTCGTAATCGCACACACGGTCAAGCACATACACACACATTCGTTCATATATATTAGGTATATGTGGTCCTCTAATCAAACACGCGCTAATCACGCAAGTTGCATTCTAATTCGAACTCTTCCTTTATTTTTTCGTACATATATAATATATATTGAGCGTATATATATATAATTATATATAACAAAGGTACAAAAGTTCATCACCTTGTGTTCGGTTACATCGGAAAAAAAATCCCCTGTAAATGTTTGTCGTTTGATCGACGACAGACATGGCATTGTCGAATAATTTCGCTCTATAACTTTGAAAAAAAAAATAAAAATCTTCAAATATATATTTCCAAATTCAATGTATAATTCGATAAGCGCATATATAAAGTTTCGGAAAAACTGGCTGTCGTGATAATTATTTATTCGCGCGTTTGAGCAACGATGAGAGCGCATCTTGTATCACTTCTATCACGAACGAATCTTTTTTCACGCGCCAGGAAAAAGTATAGAGAAAATACATGCATATAAAACGTACATTTGACGACAAATAGATATAAGTAAAATATATATATATATACACATATTTCTGGTGTCATTAACTAGATTATATCACGTTGCTCGCTTTTATATATGCCGTGCAAAAATAAAATACTAACAAGTAGAAATAGGAGGACGATGACTCAATAGCCTCATTATTGTACTCAACTAACTGACATAGACACATGAGATAGCGTAAAGTATCTTACATCTTTGATTTCGATCCCTAAAAGCATTTAACAATCCCATTTAACAATGCCATCAAATTCAATATAGTACCAAGGAATTGATTCTCTGGCAATACTTGATATTTGCAGCCTTCTTTGTGTCAAGTCTACGATTTTGATACAACTTTGAGGAAGCTTCGAGATGCAAAAAAAAATATTACATAGTCCATTAATTAAGAGAGATTTTTAGACAATTTGTACACAGATTTGATTGCTCTACAATTTTTTCATGTGTATTAATAATGTATGCATTACGAGTGATTATAATTATTCGGATTAATAAAAATTTTGTCAAACGGTTAAAAATCTGTTTTGTTGTAAACAATTAATATAATTTATATAATATATTAAAATGTCCCTATACAGGCTGTCCGACAAGTAAGTGACCAACCGAAAGGTCGGCGCTGATTGGCCAGACTTTATTCAATAATAACACCTTTATTAAGCGTTATAGAAAAAAAATAGTACAGAACTTTTCTTCTCAGTTTGACCCAATCTATCTCCACCTTTCGGTTGATCACTTACTTGTCGCACACCTTGTATATGGATTCATATTATTTTGCATTTGAAAGCTTCAGTTGTAGCCGAGCACTAGCCCAAGCATGGAATATAATAGTACCGGATTTTTGAAATTTCCCGGAAATCCAAGGAAATTCTCCTTCAACCGAAAAAATCTCTCCCCTCTTCCCGATCGACTCTCTCGCTAATAAAAATCGTAAAGGAGATAACGGTGCAACGACTGCGGCAGCTGCAGCTTCCTGACGATCTTGGGTAGCCTAGTGCCGCAGAGCCTGCGAACTATCAGTCTTGCCTGATGGGTCAACGGTAACGGGGTCCTGGCCGCCTCCATCACCAGGGCCTTCTGGGCGTCCGTCAGACTGCTGGACCGTCGTATCATGCAGGGATCGAAGCTTTCCGCCGCCTCCAAGAGCGCGCGCAACAGCCGCGGTTTGTCGGCCGTATTTTGCAGCGAGTTGAGGATACCGTGCGGATCGCGAAACTGCGTCTTGATCACCACTCGGGCGCCGTACTTAAGCAACAGTGCCACCACCTCCACCGACGGATTCTCGTTCGAGGCGACGTATTCGGCGAGTACCGGGCGCAGCGCCGGGCCGTCATCGCTTCGGATCACCAGGTTCGGATCGGCCCCGCGCTCCAGCAACATGCACAGGATTTCCAGCCGATTCGGGATGTTGTCAGCGCATGCCACGTGCAGCGGCGAGCCGATGATCGGCGATGTGGCGTTCACGTTCGCGCCTGCATACAATTTTTCAGATTAAATTATATACATTATATACATTCAGTCTAATATATAAAAAATTATATTAATAAATTATTTGTATTTTAATTAATATTAATACATAATAGAATTTATATTAGTATTAATAAATTATTCGTATTTTTAAAAAATATAAAAAATTTTAGATTAAATTTATTATAGCGATTAAGACATCGTTGCGCGGATATTCGGCACGCGACGTCCTTCGGATGCCAAGCGATCCGACCGTATGCCAGCAGAGTGTGATATCTCGCGAGATGACAATCGTGTACGATATCGCAACTCGCCTGCTTGGAGCAGCATCTCGACGATTGACGGGTCTCCTTTGAGTATGGCCAGATCCAGGGCCGTCGGCTTCTGGTAGTCCGGTCCGAGATCTAGCCGGGCGCCCTGCTTCAGCAGCAGATTAATCACCGCCGGGTCGCCGCCGAGGATCGCGTAATGCAATACCGTACGATAATCGTGCCTGGCGTCCGCCGTCGCGTTCACGTCCGCCCCGTAGCTGAGTAGTAGAAGCACCGAAGCTATACCCTGCGACATTTGCAGGACGTCGACTTATCTCGTAAAAATTCGTGGAAAATTTCGAATAAAATATTGTACTCTATTGTATTCTACAATATTACTACCTGGGGCAGCCTGGCAGCCTTCATGAGAGGCGTCAACCCGGCGCGATCACGCGTGTTCGGATGAGCGCCGAAGGCCAATAGCAATTCCATGCATTCCAGATCCAGCGGTGACACTAGATTAATCTCGGAGCCGAAGAAGTACCTCTTATTAGGATTAGCGCCGGCTTCGAGAAGGATCTTCGCGACTTCGACGTGGCGATTCCGCAGAGCCAGACGTAGTGGTTCGTCGCACAACATAGTTCTATATAAGAAAAAAACAGCGAACGCGTCGCGATTAATGATAACCGAATGAAAAACACTTTAAATAACATTAATTAACTTTCTTACTCTGTCTAATCTTAAGTTAAGTCTCTTGATTAATTTTCTTGGATTTTTTCCACACTAGAAATAATATTTTTCAATCAAATAAATACTCCTGACAACACACATGGTCAAAAGACGTCTAGAGAACGTCCAGAGGACATCCAGAGGATGTTTTACATGCAGGAATGTCCTCTGGACATGTCTTTTGGACATATGTGTTGTTAGGGACATTTTGTTAATCTTGATTTTTTTTTGCTTTAATAAATATATACTTTGTTTTCAAAAAAATGTTCTGTTATATTAAATAAATTATTATTTGCATGTAATAAAAAAATTATAATTTCTAAGATAAAATATTTAAAATTTTAATATGAAA